AGGCCGTGATATATCATGGAGGGCTGAGAAAGATGTATCAAGCTCACAATACCTTCAAAATATATTGCTGTAAATGCACTAAAAGTACCTGTCATTTTAAAGTTCATCCACTAGGTTGATTTTCTTACGAACTACACCATGGAGAATGTCAAAAATACTATTTCCGAGCCCCTAGACTTAAAAAGGTTTTTGGGGGGGAGGATGCCCCTAGACCCCTCTACAAACTTGCGCCGGCACGGCGACTTTAAATTCTAAGAAAATCGGAATAATATTTTCTAAAGTTGCTCCCTAAAAGCGTTCTTTAGGTAAAGTTTCAGGATTTTCGATTTTTCTAACCTGGCCAGCCATTCTCGATATTTTCAGTCAGTGACTCTTAAGTGACCGTTTAGTCTGGAAATGGACCGGGGTTGGGATTATTGCTGCACCCACCCACCAACCAATTTTAAAGAGTTCTCTTGCAGTGAACTCTGGCTCAATTTGAACGCATTTAGTTACTTGAAATTTCTATTTGTTTCCATTGTTTATGATTTCAGGGAATATTCTTTGAAAAAAATTCACAAAGTGATTCTTAAACCAGACCCCAAGAATGGCGATCGTTTCTTGTTGAACCTCGAACTTGGCTTAGACAACACCGACCAATCATTTCGCCTGTCAGAACACGTGTATCAGAAAAAAGGAAATGACACCTTGTGCCTTCCTGAAGGAATCAACTGGAATAACAACGCTACAGTGTACTTCATTCTCCCTGTTAAGGAGCAAGGAAACTGGGTGCATCATTTTATTAATCAGCTGACTGATGCCAGCTTACTAACCGGTGATACGAACTTTCACGTCATAGTTGTTGATTTTGAAAGTAAAGATATTGATATGGTCAAGGCGTTTAACACATCTCTTCTCAGCAGCAGACATACTATTGTTTCATTAATGGGGAAATTCTACAAGACTCTCGCTCTAAACAAGGCCGTTGAACAAGTCCCGAATGCGCATGACATAGTTTTCCTGTTTGACCTGCATATTGATGTGCCCGCAGACATTATGGACAGTGTTCGAATGGTATGTATTTCATGTATCTGTGGCATTCATAGAACTACGTTTAACCACGGCATTGATACCAAGGGAAAAAAATGTTATTAACCGGCAAATTGGAAGCGCTGTGGAGAATATTGCTCGAAATCGTGGCAGTCCAAAGAGCCCCCGTGAGGTTTGACGATTGGAAAACAATTAGTGTATAGTGGTGTTCTACGCTATATCTCGATTATATTTGTAAATTGTTTCTATTATATTGCTGAATGTGCACAAACGTCCTGTGGTCAATACCAAAATTGATTCCATCAAAGCGACGAAGCAAAACATCTAAGATTGCAACCTTTCGACGCGATCCTTTAGTTGTTGTAGTAAGTGTCAGTGACAATCAGAACCACTGTCCTGGTCACCATTGAACTTGGACTCTTCCCAGACCCAACTGCGAGCAACGGTAACAAACCAGTGATACGCAGGATTGTAGGTCGTGGGTCGTTGGTGCACGTTTTTTTTCGCTGAATAGCTGGGGCATGACCGGGATAAGCAAGGTAAAGAGGTATCCCTTTTTGTCGACTGGCTGGTGAAATAAGCGCCCTCATGATGGGTTTTTACGGACAAAATTATGAATCTAAAATACCGATGGAATCTTTCTTACCAGCATGTCTATGATCAAGTATTGTCTAGCTGGGATGAGAGGCTTTTATCAAGACTAAACTAATCTCCGTAAAGAGCAATGTTGGGGCCCCAGCCCTTGATTGGACGTACAAGACGTTGATGGCTACTGCATATTGAGTTATAATATTTTGATTCTCTTACCTGATGATTGTTCTCACCAATAACGTAATTTTTTTTTCTTAGAACACTGTTGCTGGTCGCATGGCTTACTTTCCTATTGTTGGGCGTCTGGAATGTCACAGTAATCCCGTGGAACATCGGGGATTTTGGCAAGTAGATGGCTATGGGCTTATGTCGATTTATAAATCAGATTGGGTCAGATTTGGCGGTGAGTGAAAATCACTTTCATCATAATTCATCCAAGATATATGATCAAGAAAAGATTAACGTACTTACCCTGATCTTCTCTTGTGCATGATGTCACTTCTACAAGATATTTTAGTGGGTGGTGATGGTAGAGAAGGCTATCAGGAGAGAACAGGCTTACCTTAGGGACCACAGTAGATCTAAATGCATGTAGTCATGGTTATAGCGATTTTTCCGTTAAGGCGGCTCCGCTGATTTCCCTTTCGTAAACTGTCGATGCCAGTTTGAACGGTCGATGCCATAATTGGTAAACAAGCTTTTCGAAATGGATGATGCCATACCTGCTCTAGTCTAGGCCTGGACTAGCTCGAAACTGGTTGTAATTTGATGATAGACAAATACACACTCACCAAATGCTAAATTGATCACTTTCACACTGGTTTGTTTGCGGCTAGCCTTTATTTGTTGGTTAGGGCAATGCCATAAGTAAAAGAGACTAAGAAAGTCATCTTTTATAATTAAATTTTGCGGATTTTGGCTGATCAACCTAGTGGTGTAGTGGTAAGAGAGGGATGTTGACATCCGGGGGTTTCTGAGTTCGATGCTAGGTGGTAACCTACAACTTTTCTTTTTCTTTAATTTAGTGGGAAAAATTTCATTGATAGTTAAGAAAAAAATGTCTAGTTGTCCTGAAAATGCCATTGCATCGACTACGAAAAAAGCGGCGACTCTCTAGACTACAATCAGTAATAAGCATACACTTAACCAGTGGTTCCTGTCTACGAATTCTCTTTTTTCTCTCTCTCTCTCTCTTTGCATCACTAGGAATGAATACAAAGGACTTCCAAACTAAATGGGGCGGGGAAGACTGGGATCTACTAGACCGTGTGTTGATGTTACCGGTAGAAGTGGAACGAGTCAGACATCCGGGACTTTATCATTATTATCACCAAAGCAAAAAGTGGATATAGACTGTGACAAGCTTGGTAACTGTGGACATACAATGAAAAGGATCTGTTTTCGATTTTATGACGACCAGCAGATCATAACCTTCTAATACAACACTAAGCTAACTACGAATAAAATACGAGAAACAGGACTGGGTACATACAGACACTGATACGAGTACATACGGGAAGCAAACGTATATCAAAGAAATAGCACTTCCGTGTTTCTATCGAGTTTTAGTGTAAACTACTAGCGTTCTATCACGAAGGCCGTTCTCTGATTGGCTATGGCGTTTTCGAAGTGTCTGTGGAGAGGATTTAGATAAAGGTTTGAACAACTTGTAGATTTATACTAAAACAATTAGATTTTTCGCTCCTGATTTCTATGCGTTATAGGTTACTCGCGCCCTCGTCAACTATCACGCGATAGAAATCTCGAGCCCAAAATCTAATTGTTTAGCAAACAGTTAGCAGCCTAGCAGTGTGCGGTCGTTACCATGAAAATGGCGGCCGCTTCTTTACGTTTAAGAAGTGTCTTTGTAAAAGATTTAGATAATTTACTAGTTAAATTTTGAACGACTAGTAGGTTTATACTAAAGCAATTAGATTGTTTGCTCTCGATTTCTATCGCGCGATAGAAATCTCGTAATCGTTAAGTATGGGTTATTGACCAAGTGTGAGGTCAAGATGGCTGGATATTGACCAAGTTCTTTTTTNAAGATAGCTCCATCTTGCCCGCTCGGGTAGCCAATCACAGCGCAGGATTTGATTCATCTTGCCCGCTCACGGAGCTAGCCATATAATAAATAGAAGTATTGCTTTCAGGGAGCACTTTGTTATGGAATGTTCACGCGCAGAAAATCTATCTTTTTTTATCTATCTTCTATAGTTTCTTTTTTAACAAGGAGCATGTTTATGATGTCTCTTTCATTTCTGTGGAACATTTCATGCTGGTGCGTTGAAGAGAATTTGTAAAACTTGTTTGGGGAAATAAAAACTATTTCGAGCCACCTTAACTGTTTAATTAGATAGTCAGTGCATTTATTTTAATCATTTTCATTCCTACCTCAGTTAAACTATTTTAAAATTGAAATTGTTTTTAAGGGTAAAATAAATTTTATGCATGTTACTCATATATTTAATCTTGTGTTTCTCGTGTCTTCCAAGATGTATCTGTGTGTTAATTATATTACCCGCATGTTATTCATATGTATCCGGTGGTATATCTGTGTTGGTATGTACCCGTGTGTTCCCTCTGTCATATCTGCATCCGTGTGCTCCTCGTATGTTACTCGTATGTTTCTCGTATGTTACTCGTACGTTACTCGTATGTTACTCGTATGTTACTCGGAGTACTCCTGCGGTGTTTTACTCGGGATCAGATTAGCAGTTAGTCATTAGTTGCATTTACTGCTGCTTTCGAAAACTCGTCAGTGAACTTCAAAGTTCAAAACACAAAGGAACTAGCAAAATTTTATTTTTTTTCCCTGCCATAATTCCTAAATACAACAACGTTACGCATTTCAGCAGCGTAAATTAGAGAGTATTCACACTTTCATGATTGCAAAAAGGTACTTCATGTTGGAGTAGTCCCATCTTTCCTCACTGTCGAGGGAATAAATAATACAAGCTTTCGTTTAACGCACTCGTTTAAGTTTCTGACCAGTACTACTAAAACTGCGGGCTAGTATCCGGCTCACATGGCTGGGTCTGGGCCGAGAATATCGGAGCATTGCAAGCACATATGGAATTATTGGGTTTAGGGGAAGGGAGGAGAACAAAAAAACCCTGAGATGAATGTTGAATGTGATGGTAATTTCAGGGCAGTTAAAAGTCAAGAGAAAATGAAAAAAGTAAACCTTTTATAGAACTATGTGCATGCATTTGAACCATACGGGAGAATGTCCCGGCTCTATTATCCCTGATAAATAACGACAACAATAGCACTTTAAGAGTGCATGGTCGAACAGCTGCAGAATTGGTTTGTGGTCAGTGATATTTTATTTCTCTTGGCTGAAAATTACAGTCAAACCAACCAGCCAACCCCTTCTTTCCCCTGCTGCTTTTCAATACTGCGGGGCAATGTTACCAGAATGTTACCATCAGGGTTGTCAATTTGTTCGAGCTACTTGCAAATCAGTTGAATCTGTTCAAGCACTGACTTTCCCAGCTCAAGAGACTATATGGTCTGGATCATAGCGTCTTGCCCAGCTCCAGTGCCACTTATTTTCAAAGAGAACAAAACTATTTCTTTGTGTCGGGTCGAGTGTTCATTAGAAGACTAAGAGAAATTAGCAACAGGTTGAGATTACTTCTCCATGTTGGAGACCGAGCTTCAACATCAGAGCAAATGTAAGCCGTTTTGAAACGCAGTTCCCAGTTTTGCTGCTGCAGTTTGGTCATGTGAATTCAACGTCGCATATTTCTAGGTCTATATGTTGGACAGTTAAAGCACTGCTGACCCGCTACTAGTATAGCTATTATTCGTCAAAGCTCTGTCGATTGAAGTTGCTATCTTTAAGTCTACTGTTTCAACCTATTCTACTGATTATACAAGCTCGAAGGTCTCCAGCTAAATGCCTTTAATTGTAGACACGTTTGGGTTTACTGACATTGGGAACTAAATTGAGCACCCGATTACACTTAGATAAATAACCAGACATGCCAAAGGAACGAAAAAAAGTAAAATGATGAAACGACGGAAAAGATAATTTGTGAACGAAATGTCGCCATAATTTGAAGCTTTGTACAGGCAAAGTATTGATGAGAACAGTTGTTGGAAGTTTACGAAACTGAACAAAACGAACAAGGCAAATTACAAGGAAAGATATGTTTGGGCTGACCTTGACTGTTGGGAGCTTGTGGTACCTTTTAGAGTATTGAGCTGAAAAAAATGACAGGAGATAATATGTTGCAAATGAATATATGAAATATCATATATTTGAACTGCGGAGAAAGATATGAAGTCATGATTGCCATCGCTGTTATACACACAACTTAAGCAGTTGTGTGCATAACTGCCATGATCAATCATGTCTTCATATCTTTCTCCGCAGTTTAAATATATGATATTTCATATATCCTTCTTCATAAATCTTTATTTATTACGGGGCCAAACTACATCAAAGAATTGTTCTCCTTGCGTTCTAGCAATCATGACCTAAGAGGCTATTGTAAGCTTAATCAGCCTACCTTTAAATCAAAGTATTTGCATAAATCTTATCGCTACATAACTTCACGTTTATGGAACAACTTACCTGATAATATAAGAGGAGCGTCCTCTCTCAGAATTTTTAAAAATTTACTGAACAATGTTAACCTGACTACCGAGGTCAATTGTTGCTGTAATCTTTGTATCGATTAGTTAACATATTTAAATTTTTATAGTCTAGTTTTTCAATTTTATGGTCTAGTTTTTCAATTCTAAATTTTATAGTCTAGTTTTTGTACTTTTATTGAATAGATAATATATTTAAATTTTATATTTCAATTTTAGCATACACGTTCACATTTAAACGAGGCCCAGGCTCACTGGTGTAATGTGTCTAAATAAAGTACTTACTTACTTACGTACTTACTTATATATTCATTTGCTTTAGTGCTTTCGTGAACAACTACTACTTACACTCAGAGTATGAAAATAAAAGACAAAATTCCCTCAAGCAGATAATATTTAACTCAGTTTAAGGTTACTTCCCACCTTCGCGGGTGCCCTTCAGGAAAAAATTCGTACGTGCGCCAGTTTCAATAAA